CAGGCCCAGCACCCTGTGAATTTTATAACTTATGTTTAATAGGTCTTGGGTGTTTGTTGAATGAACTATTGCACATGGGTAGAGAAAAATATACTTTTTGGAAGAGGGAGTCTTTTATTTTTATGTTAACAGCTTTATTAGGGCTATAATTTACACACGAAAATATTTTCTTGAATTAAGTGTACAATTCAGTGAGTTACCAAGTTGTGCAATCACTCACATAATCTAATTTTAGAACATTTTCACTACCTCAAAAAGAAACCTTGTGTGTGTTTGCTTACTCCCAGTCCTAGGCAACCACCAACCTATCTACCACGTCTACAGCTTTGCCTTCTCTGGACAAGACATACAAATGAAATCTTGTAATCTGTGGCCTTCTGTGTTTGGTTTCTCTCACTTAGCATAAGGCCTTCAAGTGCACCCGTGTGGTGGCATATGTCACCACTTCGCTCCTTTCTGTGGTGGGCGAGTGGCCCAGCGGGCAATTGGTTGTACCACATCTTGTCTGTCCATAAGAGGTGGATGTGGGATTGTTCCCACCTTTGGCCATTATGAACAGGGTTGCTGCAAATGTTCATTAGATGTTTTTGTGTGGACACATGTTTCCATTTCCCTTAGGTAGATACCCAGGAGAGAACTGCCACTCACGTGGTATATTTATGTTTACCTTTTTTCAGGTCCTGGGGATGAAGCCAGGGAGGGGCCCTCTTCCGTGGAGCTCCATTCCCCTTTTCACTTTTTCTTTTGAAACAAGGTCTTACTAACCCACTAACTGGTCCAGGCAGAACTCGATTTGTGGCCCTCCTGTCTCAGCCTCCCTCAATGGTAGGTTTATAGGTGTATACCACCATGGCTGATTATGTTTAACATTTTAAACTTTAACACTCATTTTTCTCCACCATCCCTAGGTGATGGGAAGGTATATAAGGTTGTCTTGGGCAGAAAAGAAATATCCAGAGGCAGATGAGTTTGAGGCCAACCTGGGCTCCTTAGTTAAAAACCAGCCTGAATTACAGAGTGAGACCCTGTCTCAAAAAACAGAAAAAAGAAAAGGAAAAGAAATACCTGATACAACATAGTTAAAAATTACATAATAATAAAATTATAGAAAACTAAAAAACTTAGGTCTGCTCTCAGGGAATATACAGGTCAACCTGGATGTTATTTATTTATTTATTTTTGTCTTTTTGAGATAGGGTCTTGCTATGCAGTTCTGGCTGGCCTTGAGCTCACTTTATAGCCCAGGCTGGTCTTGAACTCACAGGATCCTCCTGCCTCAGCCTCCTGAGAGCTGGGATTACAGGTGTGCACCACCATACCCAACACAACCTGGATGTTATAACAAGTGTTTATAGAATAATTTCAAAAACTGAAAAATCTGAATATAAAGCAGGCTTCAAATAGTCTATGCAAAATGATTCAGGAAGCAGGGAAGACCCACTTCTTTTGTAAGACTCCTTGTTAGGCTTCAAGAGGAAGAGATGGAAATTTGAAACCATTCCCCTTCTGAGTTACTGAGAGTCTGGACATTATGACTTTATTATTAGAACAAAGTTCAATAATTATAAATTCAAGCAGGGGGTGGTGGTGCACGCCTGTAATCCCAGCACTCAGGAGGCTGAGGTAGGAAGATCACTAAGAGTTCGAGACCAGTGAGCTCAAGGCCAGCCTGAACTACACAGTGAGACCTTGTCTTAAAAAGACAAAAAA